AACCACCCGCCATTGGCAAAAAAGTGCTTCCGTTCTTGATTTTTTAGTCGTCGATGAGTCATAGATAAAAACTTGTGTGGCTAATTCTTTTCGTTAAATTAAAAGTAGAAAAGGTTTATTATTAAAAGACCGAACTTCTCTAAAACTGTGAGCCGGAAACTTTTTGGTCATTTTGCAGTCGACCTCACTGGAGAGGTGTCGCTCGGCAACAAGCACACAAATGGCAGCTGACTAGAAAGTGCTAGAAGCAGAGTAATAACGGAAGCTTTTTGGCGATAAATCATAAATAGACTTTTTCCGCTACGTCTTATCTATTATTTTGGACTGTAAATGTAAAAATGAGTTCAAAAGCGTATTTGTCAGGATGTACTATCTGTAATAATCATAAAATTGAACCGAGTAAAAATTTTATAAACATCAGAAATGCTGAAACATTAGAACATCTGAAACGTGGCTACCGTTTCAAGTATAAAGTGGAATTTGCTGACCATTTGTATTTAAATTGCACAGTGCACAGACGATGCTACAATAACCTACTTATCCATTACAGTAGATCGTTACCAAAACCATCAAATGGCCCTTTATTTTGTTCGGAAATTGTAAATCCGCATAACTTTCTGCGTTTCACTTTATAATATACTGCGAGTATTTTAGGTAGATATGCAACATAAAACAAAAAAATCCGCATTGTTTGTTGAAAATCAAGAAAATACGTCAACACCGACATCTCCGGTAAATTTTTAGCTCTCAATCTTTCTAGCTTCTGCTTTATTGTACTCCCATTATTCATAGCACCAACGTCAAAATATACAATTATCTACTGTCAATAAGAATAATTTATCAATTCGTCCACCTTCTGGAAGTAAAATGATTTCTGATCCATTAAGTGACATTTCAAATAGTTTCAATGCAGTAAGCATTATACCTAAATCAAAATAAGATAAGAAAAAACGTGCCGTCTTTGTTTAAGAATATTGATTTGTTCAATGATCCAGACAATGACACAAACTATTCTGATAATCAACTCACAAATGAAGAGAATATTTCTCCTCTATCACAACGTACTCGATCGTCTATTACTTTCACACACAAAGTGAGCCTTCGAAAAGTAAAATCTTGACAGGATAATCATAGAATTCACTTTTTTAAGAAAGATTCAGAAAATTATTCAAAAAATGGTCAAACAGCTATCTCACATAATTCTGAAATAGCTCCATCATCCAATATCAGCTTTGTAACTAAAGATTTTTGAAAAAATTCAGGAAAAAAGCTTGATTAAGTAGACTGTTTGTTGTTTTTTTTAGGAAACAATTGATACAGATATTCATTTTTCTCAAAATGCGACAGAGCTTGTACTCTCCACATCTTCAAGCTCTAATTTCAGCCAATTCATGTCCGAAATACACAAAATACATACAAAACTTTCTGAGAAAACAAAGGTTTGTTAGTCTGCCCAATGCTCACTTTATACTGCTAGCAAAAATTATGCGAATATTATTTCTGGAATCAGCAGATTGCCCACTGAATGATTGACGTTTAATTGGTTTCGGATAGCTTGCCATATAGCACTGAAAGTATGGAAAAGTATTTGAATCAATTAAAACACTGATTTTTCAGAATAATCAAAAATCTGCTGATATAAAGGTAAGAAACAGAAAAAGAATAGAGCATAAAACACAACCGCTCGTTTAAGGCAACTAATTTAGAAATTTATAAAACTGAGCAATTTAACACATATTTCGCATCTACATAAAGGTACTGTTCATCATTTCGTAAAGAGTTGTTTTGTTTTTCGCTTCAGAGCCCGAAAAGCAGTGTGGTTTTGCCATCCCCGTCGATAAATGAATATGACCTTCGTTGTAGAACAGTAACGATGCTTGTAGAAAATGATAATAACACGTCGGACAACCAAACGTCGATGGATCAATTATGTCTTTGGATTTTACAAGAATTAGATAACAGAATCTTGTCAATGATTGAAATCAAAGAACAATATCTAAAAATAAAAACAAATAAAAAAGAATTAATAACAGATCATATATTTAAAAC